TTATTGCGTGGACGGGGTGTGAGGGATGAGGTGCGGGAGATGTGGGAGACACGGTTGAGGGCGTTCTCGACCACCGAGGAGGGGAAGTTACGGTCCTTGAAAAACGAGGACAACTGAGATGTACGGGAGTGGAATGCCTCATCCTGGGAGCAGATGCGGCGGAGGCGAAGGAATTGGGAATAGGGGATAGCATTTTTGCAGGAAGGTGGGTGGGAGGAGGAGTATTCTCGGTAGCTGTGGGAGTCGGTGGGCTTGAAATGAATATCGGTTTCTAGGTGGTTGCCCGATATGGAGACAGAGAGGTCCAGGAAGGGGAGAGAGGTGTTAGAGATGGTCCAGGTAAACTTAAGGTTGGGGTGGAAGGTGTTAGTGAAGTGTATGAACTGTTCGAGCTCCTCGTGGGAGCACGAGGCGGCGCCGATACAGTCATCAATGTAACGGAGGAAGAGGTGGGGTTTAGGGCCAGTGTAGGTACGGAAGAGGGATTGTTCCACGTAACCTACAAAGAGGCAGGCGTAGCTTGGGCCCATGCGGGTACCCATGGCTACCCCCTTTGTCTGTAGGAAGTGGGAGGAATTGAAAGAGAAGTTGTTGAGTGTGAGGACGAGTTCGGCTAAGCGGATGAGGGTGTCAGTGGAGGGGGACTGGTCGGGCCTGCGGGACAGGAAGAAGCGGAGGGCCTTAAGGCCATCTGCATGGGGAATGCAGGTGTAGAGGGACTGGACGTCCATGGTAAAGATGAGGTGTTGGGGACCGGGGAATTGGAAGTTCTGGAGGAGGTGGAGGGCGTGGGTGGTGTCACGGACATAGGTAGGGAGTTCCTGGACCAAGGGGGAGAAAATGGAGTCGAGATAGTTGGAGATCAGTTCGGTGGGGCAGGAGCAGGCGGAGACAATGGGTCGACCAGGGCATTCAGGTTTGTGGATTTTGGGAAGGAGATAGAAGCGGGCAGTGCGAGGTTGGGGAACAATGAGGTTGGAGGCCGTGGGTGGGAGGTCACCTGAGGTGATGAGGTTGTGGATGGTTTGGGAGATGATGGTTTGGTGCTCAGGGGTGGGGTCTTGATCAAGGGGGCGGTAGGAGGAGGTGTCGGAGAGTTGGCGTCCGGCCTCGGCGATGTAGAGGTCAGTGCGCCACACTACAACTGCACCTCCCTTGTCCGCAGGTCCTGGTCCATATCCAGCTTTAGGATCATACATAGTAGGAAGTGCCACGCATCGTTGTTAACTGTCCTACCATCAATAATCCTGTTAGCCATCATATACTAGAAACAGTCGGAACCAATCACATAAATAATGTGCTCTATGCTCAGGTTAAAAATTACAGCAAGTAACGATTTCTGCTTCCCAAAACCTTTCTACCATCTACAAGGCACAAGTCTCACATGCAAGGGAATGCTTTCCATCTTCCAAGATGAGTGCAGCTCCAAAACTCAAAAGAAGCTTGGCACCTTTCAGAACACATTTCTTCATCACCATAAAGTCAGAATCCTGGAATTCCCTACTTAATTGCATAGAGACATAGAACTTAGGAACTGCTCCACCATTCAATGAGTTCATGGTTGATCCGATTATGTCTGCGCCCCATAACCAATAACACCTTTGCCTATCGAAAATCCACCTAAATCACCCTTCAATAAATTCAATAAAACAACATCCACTGCTTTCTGGGGAAGCGTATTCCTTTAGGAGCATACCTTCACATCGTAGAATCCAATTATTCTAAACTACGATATTGCATCACCTTCAAGGACAATTAGCAAAAGGCAAGCTTTGTAATAGATCACATCAATTAATCATTTTTAAAAAAAGCCCATTCAGCCTCTCAAGCCTGTTCCTCAATTCAACAAGAGCACATAAATCATATGATTGTTTAAAAAACCCATCTGGTTCACTAATGGCCTTTAGGGAAAGAAATCTACCATCCTTACCTGGTCTGGCCTAGATTTGACTGCAGACTTTCAAAAATATGGTTGACTCTTAACTGTCCTCTGGGCAATTAGGAATGAGCAATAAATGCTGGCCTGGTCAGCTGGCCACAGCCAATGAATGAATAGAAAAAATTAACAAATATTTTTCAAATTACAAATGGAAATTCAACAAATAATACTTAAAGTCTTTTCATATTTGGTGACTTTAAAATTCCATACAAATATAATATATTCTCCCCAAGTAAATAAGACCTTTTTTGTAACTCAGGAATCCATCATTGAAGAAATTAATGAAAGGCTGGCTCAGAAAGAACGTGAACTCCATGAGAAGCATGAAATAGAATTGAAAAGGGAACTGGCTTTACAGAGTAAGTGGTTCAATAAAGAACTGTTGACATATAGGTATTTTCCTCATCAACCTATTCACAGAAGTTATTACACACCTCCAGAGCAAGTGGGACTCAAACCCGGGCCTCCTTGTCCAGAGGGAGGGACACCCTTAAAAGGAGAATCCTTCGTGGTAACCTCAGGAATTGAATTGAATTGAATTCATGCTGTTGGCCTCATGCTGCTGCATTGCAAATCAGCTGTCCAGTCAACTGAGCTAAACTGACATACATAAGCTATGGACTGAGGAGTGGGGAAGAAGGCAATGCTCTCCTTGTATTTATACTGAACATTGAAAGAAATTGAAAAGAAACACAGGAGATACTGGAAACACACAGTAGTTTTGGCAGTATCTGGGACAGAGAAACAGAATACATGATTCTGCCATTCACACCTCTTCTAAACACACCTTTCCCACTATACTTTGTCCTAGTATCATTTCCTTTGGCTCTGTCCCACCAATTGTTTCTTAACACATCATGTCTCCAGTTACAGACCTTCCCATTTGTTCTTTTACTACCCTCTCCCCTTTCACCAATATAAACATTATTGCATTACTAAAATTTCTAAATTCTGATGAAAGTTTATGATCTGAAAAAGGTTAACTCTCTTTGTCTCTACATAGATGCTATGTGGCCTGCTATATATGTTCAACCGTTTGTGGTTTTATTTCATATTTCACAGCTCTAGGGCTGTAAAGAAAATAGTGTCACTTCAAGTAGCTGAGTTCAATGTCAAATCATGTATGGAAAGAGAAATAAAGAGAAGGAAATTGGACCATAACAAACAGGAAAGAGAGACAGGAAGGAAAAAAAGATCTAAAATCTTATTTCAATTTTACATTTTAAAAATTGCCAACAATTAGTATCTGAAGAATTAAGAAACCATGCTTGTACATTTTCAATTCCGGAATTGATTGGCAGTAACCAACAGTGAAAACATTGTTGCAAAGGTAGTTTAATGTCAATGATGACTTCCTGTGATATGTTTAGTTTGTATTGATTACACAAGCACAGTAACCTCAAGTAGTTCATCAATTGTTAGCCAGACCAGACAGTGAGATGTCATTTCCATGAAGTTAAAAGAAGAGATGCACTTTGGATTTCCATGTTTAACCTTGATCTTCCCTCATTTGTTGATGTTGCACTATTTGCGCTCAAGTAATAGTGAGCACCATTAACACCAGCATTCTATAGTCAGTAAACTTTGGGCCAAAGTCTCATTCCTGTTAATTAACACAGAAAGAGCTTCCTATCTCAGTCACTCTGCTGGGATTTTTTAATCAGCCTGTACAGAGATGTTATTGGCATGCTTCTGGAGTTGGTGGGACTCGAACCTGGGCCATCTGGCTCAGAGGTATGGGCACTACCACTGTGCCACAATAGCCCACTCAGCCATGATGCTGGGGAAGCAAGGAAGTGAACAGGATCTAGATGTGCCTGTTTCAACTATTCATGTTATACATTCAATGACCTGGACAAAGGAACTGTGAGGGCATTGTTGCTAAGTTTGCTGATGACACAAAGATAGATGGAGGGGCAGGTAGTATTGAGGAAGTGAAGAGGCTGCAGAATGACTTGGACATGCTAGGAGAGTGGGCAAAGAAGTGGCAGATGAAACACAATGCAGCAATATGTGAGGTTATACGTTTTGGTCAGAATAGAGCCATTTCTAAATGGGGAAAGGGTTTGGAAATCTGAAGCACAAGGGGACTTAGGGATCCTACTTCAGGATTCTCTAAGGTTAACCTGCAAGTGCATTTGTCTTCCTAACTGCCAACTGAAATGTTAGTATTATTTTGAGACGAGTAGAATGTAAGAGCAGAGAGGTACTGCTAAGGCTGTATAAGGCTGTGGTCAGACCACATTTCGAATATCGTGAACAGTTTTGGGCCCTATATCTAAGGAAGGATATGCTGGCATTGGAGGGGATCCAGAGAAGGTTCACAAGAATTTCCCAGGGATGAAGGGCTTGTCATATCAGGAACGGTTGAGGGCTCTGGGTCTGCACTTGATGAAGTTTAGAAGGATGAGGGGGAATCTGATTGAAATTTGCAGAATACTGAGAGGCCTGGATAGCAAGAACGTGGAGAAGATATTTCCACGTGTGAGAGAGACAAAGACCCAAAGGGACAGACCCAGAGTTAAAGGATGACCCTTTAGAGCTGAGATGAGGAGGAATTTTTTTTAGCCAGAGAGTGGTTAATCTGTGGAACTCAATGCCACAGGGGGCTGTGATGGCCAAGTCATTGAGTGTGTTTATAACATAGACATAGGTTCCTGATTGGTAAGGGGATGAGGGTTATGGGGAGAAGGCAGGAGAATGGGGTTGAGAAACATATCAGCCATGATTGAATGGCAGAGAAGACTCGATGGGCAGAATGGCCAAATTCTGCTCCCATAACTTATGGTCAGAAATCCCCAAATAGGCCCTGAATAAATTGACCCCTTTACATTGTCATGCCTGTGGCATTGCACAAAAAAACTAAAAGGGCACTGTACTTAAAATAAATCACCTGTAGGAAAAGTATGCAACGCAGGGCTGTTGTTATACAGTGTAATATTCAACAATTACAGTGTTTGACTGAAAGATCTATTCTGTCCAACAGGGAATGCTCTGCAACGTAAATGTGATGAAGAGAAGCAAGCAATAGTAGACAGTTATGAACAGCAGATTAATACCATTCTTGATAGGCACAAAGGGGAGATGGATGTGAGTAGAATCTCTAATACCATGCCAGCCGGGATAAATGAAGCGTCACATTTCATGATGTTTCGATCATTTCTCCACATTAATGATTTGAAAATAAGAATTACTTTGAATGGTGGGGAGGGAATGTCTAAGGTGTGATGCAGCTGCAGGAGATTGACTGGAGGGACCAGCAAGTCCTTTCACAGGTGTTGGTATTACAAGCATGACATCCACAACATGCACTTATAATTTGTTTTAAAAATGGATGTGTTTGGACACGGTACCTCACACCTCCGAGGATTTGATCCAATCCTTCTGGTCTAGAGGCAAGGAAACTACCAATACACCACAAGATCCATAATTTGCATTTATGTGAGCCCCCTTCAACAAAGTTAAACAGTCCAAGGTGTTTCACTTTAACTTCCTTCAAGCCAAATTTGACACCAAAACACATATTGGGAGATGTGACCAAAAGTTTGGTTAAAAAGTTTAAGTTGTTTAAGTCAATTTAAAGGAGGAAAGACAGAGGCAGAAAGAGACTGAGTGGTTGTGGGAGAGAATTTCAGAGCTCAAAGCTACCAATAGCGGGTGGTGAAAATCAAGAATGCTGCAAGAGTCTGAAATTGCAAACCTCCAGGATTGTGAACATAGACAGCGGGGGAGGCCATCGAAGGATTTAAGGATCATAATCATAATTTAATCAAGCAGAGTCAGCATGGTTTCACAAAAGGAAAATTGTGTCTGACTACTTTAGAGTATTTCGAGGAAGTCTCAATCCAAGTGGATAGAGGGGAACCAGTAGATATGTCATATTTGGACTTCCAGAAGCCATTTGATAAGGAACTCCCAAAATGTTTGCTGTGGATAGAGAATGTACTAATGGGCAGGAAATGGCGAGTAGGGAATAAAGGTTCCCTTTTCAGGCTGGTGACCCATGACCAGTGCGGTTACAGGGATCAGTGCTGGGACCACAACTGTTTACAATATATATTAATGACTTGGAGGAAGGAAGTGAATGCACTGTAGTCAGATTTGCAGATGACACTAAAATAGGTGGAAAGGCAGATTGTGAGAGGGATACAAACAGTTTACAGAGAGATATTGATAGGTTAAGTAAGTGGGCAAAAGTTGGCAAATAGAGTACAATGTAGGAAAATGTAAAGTTGTTCGTTTTGGAAGGGAGAACAAGTGAACAGAGTATTATTTAAATGGAGAAAAACCACAGAAAGCTATAACACAAAGGGACTTGGGGGTTACTTGTGCACAAAACACAGAAAGCTACCAGACAGGTACAACAGGTATTCAGGAAGGGTAATGGAATGTTGACCCTTATTTCAAGCGGTTTGGAATATAAGAGTAGGGAAATATTACTGCAAATGTATAAGGTGCAGGTGAGACCACATCTGCAGTAGTGTGGGCAATTTTGGTTCCCTTATCTAAGAAAAAGGTATTATTTCATTGGAGGCAGTTCAGAGAAGATTCACAGGATGACCCCCGATATGGAGGGACTGTCTTATGAGCAAAGGCTAAACAGGTTTGGAGTGTACTTAATTAAGTTTAGAAGAATGTGAGGTGATTTCGTTGAAACTTACAGATTCTTAAAGAGGCCTTGACAGGGTAAATGCTGAGAGAATGTTTCCCCTCATGGGAGAGTCTACGACCAGAGGGCACAGTCTCAGAATAAAGGGGCACCGATTTAAGTCTAAGATGAGGAGGGACTTCTTCTCTCATTGGGTTGAGACTCTTTGCAACTTGCTGGTACAGAGAGCTGTGGGAGCAGACTCCTTATGTATATTTAAGGCTGAGACTGATAGATTCTCGATCAGTAGGGAAATCAAGGGTTATGGGAAAAACACAGGAAGGTGAATATGAGGAATGTCAGATCAGCCATGATTCTATTGAACGGCAGAGCAGGCTTGAGGGGCAGAATGGCCCACTCCTATTCCTATTTCTTATGGTTTTTTGAGAATTTTTAAATTGACGCTTTGCCAGATCAGGATGCCAATGCAGGTCACCATACTGAGATGCTACGTAAATGCAGAATTAAAGCTGAATTTTGCATGATTGCAGTTTAGTAAGTATCTTCCTGTCTATGTCGGGAAACGCAGCAGTCAAAATGGTGTGAGGATCATCAGAAAGTTGGGGACGGAGCGGAGGTTGGAAGTTAAGGCTTTTCAGGTGGGAGGTTAAAGCCAGCAGATTGGCAGAGGAAAGAAATGGACTTTTGATGAAAATTGACTTTTGATGCTGGCTAAGGTAAAGTTTATATCAGGTTACTCTTGGAAGCTCGTTTCCATTGCTTTATATTAAAAGGGCTATCTTAACATCCTGCTAATATAAAGCATGAGTGTAATTGCCAAGATTGTACCGTAACTTTGCACCCATAAAGAGATAAATTAAGTTTTTTAAAAGAAATTCTTCCTTGGTGCAAACTGCCTCTACCTCTTACAGTTAATCTTCTGTCTTTATCACCTAAAGGCTTTTTGGAGTTAATATCCAGGCAGGGGAACAGGAGACACATCAGCCAGATCACTTAATTGCGATGCTCATGACTGGATGGCATCTCATAACTAACACATTATGCTTAAGCCCCACAATAACCATACTCCTTCGAGTTCATTATTTCCTTTTCCTCTGCCGAAAAAAATGGGCTGAACAGAATTTGCAATCTTTTCTCTGTTAGAAATGGAATCGCATGGATCTTTGTGTCCTGTGCTCTGAGAGAGGTCATTTGCCAATCCCCTCACTACATAGGAGTGGTGGCTGTTTATACAAATGGTAATGATTGCAACAGCAAATAAATGGGGTGTTATTCAAGTGTTAGAGGTAACAGTACGTTCAATTCTGCCAGGGCTCCGTGCCCACTTTCCACCAGGGGTTCTCTGATCAACAATTGGGAAAAGGAACCCCTCATTCATTTCTTTAAACCCCATCCCACTAGCACCACCTTCTTATTCCTGACCACACTGACACTGAAGCTAAAATGTATTGCCCCCTTCCTGCCCTTGCAGACATAACTCGGACTATCTGATTCAGCACAAGCTAATGATTTTCTTGTTTTAGATAAATCTGTACTGTAAAGTTGTCCTAGTCCCAGAGGGACATAGAACTTAGAGAGAGAGAAACATGACTGGTGGTTGTTTAACCTGAGGGTCACCACACCTCATGTGAGGGTGAAAGGTTCAGAAGTTGGGACCCTCACAGTTACCTTATGATTCTCAAAATTTTAAAAACACTTGCAACTAAATCTGAACCTTGGATTTCCCAGTATGCAAGATGCAGGAATGAAAGCTTTATTTTAGCAAACAGCCTACATCAGATTGTTAGATGGATTTTAACACTATGTCTCTGCTTTCTCAGGGTGCTGCAGAGCAGTATAGTGCCATTATGGAAACGGTTGAGGAGTTGAGAAATGCAAAGCAACAGATCGAGGTATAAACGTGTTACACAAGTGCAGACAATGATCACCTCTAACAAGCAAAGGCCAAATTATCTGCCCTGATCTTCAAAATCAGCACAATCACTGGATCTCCCACCGTTTATATGCTCACTGGGAAGATGTCTTCTTGTTTTTTTGGGGGGAGGTCAACTAGGGCTCAAAGTTTTTTTTTAAGGGGTCCTGTTCAGATTTTCCCGAGGGTTACTTTGTGATTTTCAGGGATTCCTTTTTCTCTCTCACTAACTCCTTTATTAGGTGATGAAGTCAGGTGGCAAGATTACCCTCTGTATTAATGCTGGATAAACGCAGGATTTGGACTCTCACAGGAGCAGAATTAGAATAATTCATCAACATCCTCACTAATCATTACCACTCCATTAAACGTAAAGCCACAATTCATTTGGGAAGCAGCCATTTCCTACACACTGCTGTTTTTAAATTGACATCACAGGCATAGGTTAGCAGAAGATGATTTATTACAAAACAGCTTGTACGCACTTCCACACAAAAAGCCATCACCGTAAAGATGCTTTCTGGCGACTGGTCTGGTCACATCTAAATGGTTGCATGTTTGTTTCAGAGTGCTTTTAGATGCAGCAACACATAAATGGAGACTTGGAGTCAACAATATAACTACGAAACTCAAACAGAAGCTAGATGCCTTGAAAAGAATGGCTATTTCCTTAACTGCATCTACCACTCCCTTGCCGTCTAAGTGTCTCCATTATTTTCAAGTCTCAATTCAGGCATGCAAAACCCCAAATCCTCATTATGGACAGAAACAATGACGGTTTTAAATTTTGATTTGGTTTAAAAGTCTATTAACTTTACCACAGAGTAGGTTTTGTAGGGAAAGAGCATTCACTTGGACTACAATAATGGGGTCAGAGAGAAATGGCACTTTCTTGCCCGTGAAAGCAGCTTAGAAGGTTGTAATCAGAATGTTCCCACTGACAATGGACTCAGACCCTGGATGTGCACAGCTCTGGTTTATTCCTTCCTCTGGGATTAGCCAGGGAACGGGCACGTCATTTGCACACTTACTTTGTTCTTGAGGGGTGGAGCCAGTGAGAGAGATTTCTGCTTATTGCACCATTCCAGTTTTCAAATTACAGGGAGACACTCCATGTAAATGACTGGCTCAAGAGCTGTATTCTCATGGGACTGGGAACAATCTGCCTGTAAAATTCTCAGACAGGAATCCTCATGCAGGAGAAGGGAACTTAAAAAAAAAGTGGGGGATAACTTACATTTGTCAAACACATAGTAACATTTAGCCTATCGTTATTTCATAGGATCTGTTGCAGCAGCTGAAAAAGAAGAATGAAGAAATACAGAATCAGTCTGAATATCTGAGCTTTCTTGAGGCAGAGCTAGCATACGATGTAATCTGGTATTCTGTCATCTTCTAGTAAAGAGTTCCAGCCCTGAGCTCTTCGAGCTGATATATGTTTGTTGAAAGCTGGTGTCAGGAACAACAGTAGCTTTCATTGTAAAAGCAAGTGTGCTGGCTTTGTGTGTTTGCTGGTTGGCTCACCTCAGTCAAAACAGCATAGGTGCAAGTGCTACATGGAGATGTAAACTGACTGACGCTCCAGTGCATACTGCCTTTTGGTTAGAGGTTCCTCTGTCTGTCTCATCAAGTGTGTATTATGAATTACATCAGGTTATTTGAAAAGGATCAAGTTCTCCAACATCTTCGTCAAATATTTTTCCTTGCTGTGTAAATTAGAGTTACTGTATTTGCCTACTTAACCATTCTAATAGAGTTCAAAAGTCCAACTTTGCGTTAAAAACATTCAACAAGGTAGCCTCAACTGCTTCACTGGGCAGAGAATTTCACAGTTTCACAGCCCTTTGGGTGAAGAAGTCCTTCACCAACTGAGTCCTAAATCTGGTCCCCCTTATCTTGAGGCTATGCCCCCCAGCTCTAGTTTCACCTGCCAGTGGAAACAACCTCCCTGCTTCTATCTTATCTATTCCCTTCATAATTTCTATAAGACTCCTCCTCATTCTTCTAAGTTCCAATGAGTATTGTCCCGGTCTACTCAATAGCTCCTCATAAGGCAACACTCTCAACTCCGGAATCAATCTAATGAACCTCTTCTGCACCCCGTTCAGTACCTGTACATCCTTTCTCAAGTGAAGAGCCCACACTGTACACAGTACTCCAAGTGAGGCCTCAGCAGCACCCTATACAACTGCAGCATAACCTCCCTGTTTCATGTACCTTTAGAAGTGTCTGAGTTCATTACAGCCAGGGAGCAGGATGGCTAGTCACGTTTGACAAACCAGTACAGTCAGGGGAACAACTGATCAGATAGAGAGAATGCAATTTATGTGGTGAATATGTAGTTTCCTTTAATATAGGCTCTAACAGGAGAAGCTCATGGCAAAAATTCAGATACCTAATACAAGAGAAATGGTAGAGGAATGAATAGAAAGTTGTTTGGAAACAGGGGAAAAAAAAAAAATTTAATTGTTCCTCTGATTAGACAAAGTCCAGAGAAACATAATAGAACATTTTTAAACTGGAGGGATGAGACAGAAGAGAGGAGAAGGACAGGGAATCATAATTGTCCTGTTGGGATGCAGTCCCACAAACGACATGTGCCTCAGGTGTTTCACATAGCAGGTTCTTTTTTGACCAAAGAGGGTAATTTCATTGACTGCAGGTAGCTGAGCAGACAGAGCAACGTACATCTGTTTCAACTCTCCCTGGGAGAGGAGACAGGTTCCTTCCCTGTTTGGATATGGCTCAGTTACAGAACCTACATCCATCACTTTCTCTCTGGCCAGTCATTGCATCTACAACTTATTCTAAATATGATCTCTATTGTTTTGAAGGAAAATGTTCTGAGCTGGTTTTATTTTCAATTATGTTGATTTCTATTCCAGAGAGCTAAGCTGGCTGAAATTGAAGGAACTTACAAGTCAAACATAGGCTCCATGAAGAGAGAATATGTAACGTCCATAAAAGCTTTAGAGGATCAGAACCTTGATCTAAAGTAAGAATCAAATTTGTGCCTTGCATTTTTCCTAATAAGAGCAAAACAGTGTGGCTGCTGGAAATCTAAAATAAAAACCAAAGTGCTGGAGAAACTCGGCAGGTTTGGCAGTGTGTGTGGAGAGAGAAACAGGATTAATGTTTTGAGTCCAGGATACTGCCAGACCTGTTGGATTTCTCCAACACTTTTTGTTCTTATTCCTGCATTTCTCTGCTGAGTAAACAGCTGGTTTCAACAAAAGCTGTCAGCAAACTTAAAGTTCACTCCGTATGTTTCATTTTTAAGCAAGTTTTGTTTAGCTAGTTGTATTCCTTTGTTTCATATCTTCATATACATGCATTTCTCCTTTGGGAATTGAGTGAAAGGTAGGATGAGGGGGCTGATTATCAACCTGGCTAACCAGATCATGAAGACTCCTTCTGTGATCAACACATCCTGTGGTTAGACTTGAATTCAGAGCTTCTCGTTCTTAGACACTACCCACTGAAACTGTTTTGAGTGTGAGAAATGTGTGTCAGAAAGTAGAGTTTCAAATTTAAATAAAGGCAATTACAAAAGTATGAAGACAGTATCAACTAAAGTAGAATGGGAAAGTAAGTTAGAAAGTTAAACTGTAGCAAAAATTTCAGGAGATGATTCTTAAATCTGAAGGATATACTCCTTTGAGAAAGAAACATTGCACAAGGATGAATTATCATCCAGGGATAACTAAGGAAGTCAAGGATGGAATCAACTTGAAAGAAAGTGCATGCAATGCTGAAAAGGTTAATGTTAGCCCAGAAGACTGGGATATTTTGTAACCAGCAAATCTAAAAGCAGAAATTGGAGCATAAAGGAAACCTCCAACACCACGTATACAAACAGACCTCTACAAGCGTACAAAAAAGGAAAATAATAGCTAAAGCAAGCATGAGTCTCTTAGAGGATGAGAATGGGAAATAGGGAAATGGCATAGTGTTTGAAAAATTATTTTGTAACTAACTTCATAGAAGAAGGCACAAAAAATACCCCAAAAATGGAAAAATGCAGCGAGCAAAAAAAAAAGGGAGGAACTTAAAACAATCACTAGAGAATGTAATAGGTTGACTGTCTGCACCTTAGGGTTGTAAAGGAAGTGGCTGCAGAGATGGTAGCTGATTTTTTGTAATTTGCCAAAATTCGCTATATTCTGAAAAAGTTTCAGTGGATTGGAAAATTTCAAAGCTAATTCAAGAAAGGAGGGAGATAGAAAGCAGGGAACTATAGGCCAGTTAGCGTAACATGTCATCAAGAAAATGCTAGCATTGATTATTAAGAAGGTAACATCAGGGCATTTAGATAATCATAATACATAATTGTAATAGCCAGGCTAAAAAGACATGGTTTGTGAAAGGAAAATCATGAGGGACAAATTTATAGGAATTATTTGAGGATGTAACATATTTGCATAAAGGTGTACCAACAATTGTAGTGTATTTGGACTTCCATAAAGCATTCAGTAAGTGCAACATAAATGATTAATGCACAATGTTAATGATTCCAGCTGATTGTAATATTGGGCAAGTCATTCACAAGCTTAATTTTTGAAGAGGGTTACCATGGCAGTTAGTTACTGAACATATTCACACAGGGCAGCCAATGTTCTATAACAAAAGAACAAGGTTTTATTGCACAAAAGTTAAAAACAAATAAAGCTAAATGTATGACAGTTTTAAAGGTCTTAACATAATCTGCAAAACAAATTTTTCCCAGCAATATCCTTCACAGATACTCAATCCCAGCAAAGTGTTACTCCATTCTTAACTCTTTAATTTCTTACTGACTGTTTCTAGATTCAATCACCGAAAAACTTCTTTCTAGCTCTTATGACTAAAACCTCTTTTCAGTACTGACAGTTGAAAACATCTACACAAAGTCTCACAGCTTGGACACTTCACAAACTAAAACCTCTTTGCTGGATGAAACTGTTCTCCTGAACTGTTCTGAGGAAGGATCACTGGATCTGAAATGTTGCTGCCAGACCTGCTGAGCTTCTCCAGCAATTTCTGTTCTTGGTCCTGAACTGGAACCTGGTTCTGAACTGAACTCAATTCACCAGTGGCTTCTAGTCTGCTTTCTGCTTCTGTCATAAGAATTCATCTTTGTAAACACTTTACCAGTTAGCAGCACAAGTACCCAGCTGGGCATTTAACTGAAGACACATGCTTTCTTGGAACTGATGTAGATAATTTTCTGTTCTAAGTGACTTTGACCACTTGAAAAAACACTTCACAAACTGAAACTACATCTCTCTTTTACCTCTACTACAAAGCAGGTGTGAGCTCAATGGCTGCTTTTGCTCCTGGTCTTAATTCTTATGAAGTCCTCCATAGTTTATAGTTCTGAAAGCAGAATCTATAGCACAGAATCAGGTAAAATTGCCCAACTATTCTGTGCTGAAGTTTATGATCAGACACCTCCTCCCTTTCTCCATTATGGTAACAGGCTCACATTCTAACTGTACTTTGAGTGAAGAGACTGCTCCTGAATTCCTTACTGGATTTATTGAAACCATCTTGTACTTATGCGCTTTATTTTGGATTCCACTTAACTGCAAACATCTCCACCCTATCGAAATTAAATCTTCACTCTGAAGATCTATATTTGGTCAAACTACTAAAGAGCACAAGCCTGTTCATTATCCCCTGAAAGTTAAAAGCCCTCAGTTTTGGTATAGTCGCTCATTCCTCTTCATCAACTCTCCCTGATGGCGAGGCTTCTTACAAATTTGTTCAATCTTACATTACTCAGCATTTGTCCACTTCCAGTCGTGGCAGGCCAGGGAATGCTCCCTGGAGTGAGGACTCAATTATCGTACAGCTAACCCTGGAGTACAAAAGCCAATTAAATTACTCAATTACAGTCACTTAATTCTAGGGATGTGCTTTGCTATATGATTCAAAGCTCTGGAAATTGAAATAGCCTGATATTAATCCAACACAATGTACAGACACGATGGATGAGAGTTCTTTCATGAATGAATAGATTTAATTAGTTGCTTGGTTGACATATTTGTCTTGAGTTCTTTTACTTTATTAAATAATTGAATGTTTTCTTTAAAAAAAAATTATTCAACTGAATGAAACTCCCAGAAGGTTGAAAGTCTTCAGAAGCAAAATCTTTGAATATTTTTAAGGCAGAGGTAAACAGATTCTTCATAAGTAAGGGGACGTGAAAGGTTAAAGGTTGTTCAAGACAGGAGCAGGGATGTCTTGCTGCAATCGTATAGGGTCCTGATGAGACTACACCTGGAGTATTGTGTGCCATTTTCAACTCCTTATCCAAGGAGGTAAATGGAGGCTATGGCGGGAGTGCAACAAAGACAGACTGGGTTGGTTAGGACTATATTCACTGGAAGTAGAAAGGTGGAGGGGGTGCGGTGTCATAGAAATCTGTAAAATTCCAAAAGGACTAGAAGGGGTAAGTGTAGAAAGGAGGTTCTTGATGACAGAGGAGTCCAGAACCAGGGAGTCACAGTTTAAGGATACAGGCAGGCCATTTAGGATTGAGATGAGGAAAAAGGTCTTCACTTAGAGAAGCGAAACTGTGGAATTCTCTGCCACAAAAAAAAAATGGTTGAAACCAAAACAGTGAATATTTTCAGGAAGGCGTTAGATATAATCCTTAGGGCTGAAAGTATCAAAAGGGATGAGGAGAAAGCAGGAACAGGATACTGAATTGGATGATCAGCCATGATCATATGGAATGACAGAGCAGGCTCAAAGGGCTGCCACCCTTATGAATTCTTTATTTAATTGACAAAATTAATGACCCACATTTAACCATTAAAGAATGGCCTACTCCTACTTTTATTTTCTGTGTTTGTGTCTTCAAATTGAGTCTTAAGTCAGCCTTTAGTAACAAAGGCCATAAAGCATTGTGGTTTCCTAAGAATTCCTAGTGAATGTTTTGATTCTGAGGCATAGTTTGCCACTCAACAGTGTATTTTTGATCAAAGTATCAATTTCTATTGACACCAAAAACTGACTGAACTCCCATTATTGCCACCGAATTATTCCTTTAACTGCAGAACAGTACATTCTAATCGGTGCAGAGAGGTAAGACAGATCAGAGGAATATGAAAAGGCTACTCAGTTAATCTTCATTAGATTGTTGATCAACAACTCAACTCCATTTCCTCTCACTATCCATCCATATTTCTGACATTGAAATTTTCTTGGGTAACAATCAAACCTACTTTTGAAAATTTTAGTTCAATTGGCATTCGCAGCCTTTTAGGAAAATATAACCTTCCTTGTATCCACTGAAATCTTTTGCTGTCCCATTCTAGCTTCTCACGACTGAGAAAATATATTTTTCTTTCACAAATTTTAAAGCAGATTATCTTGCACTGAACCCCAATTTGTCTGCTCAATCATGCTAATTTGTGGACAATATAATGGTTGTAGAATGGTTGTACTAGGAAAGTACAGAAATATATGTTACATATGGTGAAATATGCATGCACACACGGTACTGTGTATACTCAACAGTGGCTAGCATTTAGTGGGTATTTTATGCAGTTCTCAGGTTTATACTATAAAGCTGTTTGGAAAGTCACTCCAAAGCAGTGTACATAGCTAGCTGTGCTAAGGTACACAGATATCTATGCAGCATTCAATCAGTACAACAGCTCAGTATCTTTTTGCTTATCCATTAAATAAGCTCTGGAACACTGACAGACTGTAGTCCAGTCTCTCATACTTTGGCATACTCAAGTTTCCTTGAGTTCACCACAGAGGTATGTGTGACAAACCTCCCTCCCACCTTGCTCCTTGAATGTGCCATTAATGTTGTAAAACATGGTGATTTTCGAAGGTGCACTCACTTTGCTGTAGTAAAAGCTGTCATGTAAAGGCAAATGCTGTGGAACCCCACCATTCTGTGGTCAATGTGATCCATTAATATTGTTCTTAGTCATGGCATGTTGTAGCTGCCTGTGAAGATAGACAAGGTACAATTTGGCCCAGGACCCCTTTCACTATTTGATCATGATTGATTTCCTGATTTCCACGACCCTGTCTGGAAAAGGATTTCTAGTTTCAAACAATGAGGCCATTCCACATGAATCTGCACTTACAATTTAAACAAACTGAACAGTGTACCAAGAAATCCACTGAGCAGCCTACCCAGCAGGAACAAGCAGATCTGCACTGATTCTAGGCTAGATCCCACATTTGTTATTTTTTGGCTGGGTACATTTTGTCAAGTTTAAATTAGATTAGGGTTCCACCTGAGAGCTGCAGATCCCTCTGATATTCCAGAAATTTTGCTTGAAATTTCAGGCGCCCCTGATGATACATTTGAAGCCATTCTGGCAGAGTGGGATGGCCGACCAATTTGAAAGCCACTGTCCATTCAAAGAATTACTAAGGAAAATTTTTAGGTCTCTCAACCTGTAGCTAAGGTTAGGACTAACTGCATCATGATATAGTGTGTCAGCTGTGGCTCAGTTGGCACTGACTGCGAGTCAAAAGGTTGTGGGTACAAATCCCACTCCAGGGCTGGTATTTGCATGCACCAATAAGGGAGATTCACTGCCAGAGATGTTGTTTTCAAATCAGGCCGCAGACTAAGGTTTTAATTTATTCTTTTGGGTGAATATGAAGAATCTCAGTGTTTTTTGCAAACGAATTGGGTAGATCTCCAGGTATGCTGCCTAAGATGTACCTCTTAACTAACATCACTAAGTCAGCGATCCTTGCTTTATTGCTGCTTGTGGTATTAGCCAAGTGCAAATTGACAGACACATTGCCTACATTGCAACAGTACCTCATTGTGCACAAAGCAATTTGGCACAGCCTGAGTTGTGAATGTAACTGTACAAATGTAAATCTTCCCTTTCTTCTCCATGGAAATTTTGTTTTAATGTAGTGGATTATTAATACAAATTACAGAAAACCCAGACATAAATACCTTCACGGACTGAGGATTGATTCTTGGTATAAACTTTTCACACTAGATTGTAAAGTATAAATACGCTTTGTATTCCCCTGCAAAATAGATATATTTAGTATTTCAAACAACACATTGCTTAGCTGTAAAATTAAAACAATAATAATGATTAAATATAACACTTGTGCAACTTACCAATGAAAAGATTTGAAGTCAGTTTCATGGCTTAATGTGCAGACAGAAGAACGCTCTTAAGTTATGGAAAAATCCCTCATATAGTTAGAATAAAGCAATGGTTATAAGGAACGTGTCTAAAAGGGTTACTAATTTAGTTGGTAGATATGTTCATGTTTGATTTCTGTAGAAAGTACCCACCTTTAATTAATCAAAGTAACTAACCATGATTTCTTTCTCATCTTTCTTCAGACAACTGTTTGCTCTAAAGACTGAAGAACTTTGCGCCCTTAAAGCAATGATTGAAGAAAGAGAGAGAATAGATCAGCCTGAAAGAACAAATTTCCAGCAATAACAAACAGTCTTTGCAACTAGCAGTCCAGCCAATACAGACATATTGCAGCCAGTACCTCTTCCAGCATCAAACCAGGGGACTGGAACTTGTCTGTGTGCATCATGCACGGACGAAGCTGGATTTGGATTTGTGGAGCAGAAAGCAGAAAGGAGCTTCCTTGGTACTTTTAAAGGAAATAATAAATTGGCTTGAATATAAAAAGTCTGATTGACAGCACTCATTTTGTTTGGTCAACAGAATAAATTTGGACTTTGCAAAACATCTGGCTTCCAGATGTATCTATTCATCAGATGCAAATATTGAAAACTTCCGCTATAATGACAAGAGGGAACTTCAAAGTTAAATATGATCCACTCCTTCCTTCTGACATTTCACCAGGGTATTTCTGTATATTCCGTAAAGTCGATAGCCTCACATATCATGCAATTTCAGTTGGATAGAATATAAATAATGAGGTATGCAAACGGCACTAATTAATGCAGATGGAGGAAAATCTGCACAATTCTAACAAGCAATAACAGAGAATGATCAACATTACATTGCAGGAAAACAATGCATGATAATGTCAGAGAAAAGGATTGCACTCAGATGCAAAATAAGTGAACTTAAAGAAATATAACGTACAGAATTGTTTTCCTACCTGGGTCTCCTAACACCTAATGGGAAAAAAGTGATCAAGACATAACACTTGAAAAATAAATTTTGCAAATATATCAGATTTTATTTTTAAGAAATAAGCACATCTCTCAGGAAAGCAAAATGAGACAACCAAAATTCTAGAATCATAGGATCCTTACAGCATGGAAGCAGGCTGTTTGGCCCATTGAGTACACACTGAACCTCTAAATAGCACCCACCCAGACCCAACCACCCACCCTATCCCTGTAACCATACATCTACCCTGGCTAATCCACCTGGCCTGCACATCCCTGGACACCATGGGCAATTTTGCATGGCCAATCTACCTAACTTGCACATCGTTGGCTGTGGGAGGAAACCCACACAAAGATGGGGAGAAACTCCACACAGACAGTTGTCCGAGTGTGGAATCCAACCTGGGTTCCTATGCTGCGAGGCAGTGCTGTTAACCACTGAGCCACTACACCACTCTTCTACATCTAGTTAATATTAAGAAATAGAATTAAAGCAAGATAATGGAAGATGAAGGCAACAGGGATGTGTTTTTTGAGACAAGTGATAAGTAGTTGGATAATGCACAAAATTAAATTAAAGAGGAAGTTAAGGCAAATACAGACAAATGAAAATTTGTGGATAATCAAGACAATTACAATTCTGTGTGTTATTAGAAGGGAAAATCAACTGGTAGTGACTAGTAAAATTAAGAGTAGCAGAGGAGGAAATACATCAACAGGTTAAGTAGTAGAACATGTATAAGATTTGAGAAAATGCCAAGAACCACGAACGTTGAAGAGCCATATTCACTAACTTTGTAAGACATAGCAACTGAAGACGGATGATCTAGGTTCCACAATCACCAGCAATCTGTCATGTTCCATGCATTACAAAACCTAAAACAACAAGGTGTAGAGCTGGATGAACACAGCAGGCCAAGCAGCATCATAGGAGCAGAAAGGCTGACATTTCGGGCCTAGACCCTTCATCAGAA